TATGCTGCAGATACTGAAGCATGTCTAGTGCTGTAAGGAGTGAAAGATTTTATATCAATGTTACATTTCCCTAGAACATTTTTAATCCATCTTGATAGTGTTTGGGTAGATGCCGCGTGGATAGGCTTTTTATAGGTTAAGAATAGATTCTTAATACCCCCTCTTGTATTTTTAGTTACATCAAGATAATATAATAGGGTGGAAGCCACACAGAGCTCTGGCTTATTATTAAAAAACGGTAAACATAACCGTGGTTGCTCTTTTTTAGGAGCTGATACTTTTATTAAATCTGTTATAAGAATCTCAAGTCTATCCTCTAACTTAATTATATTATTAATTCCGATACTTTGAATTGTCTGTAATCTATGCGCAGTGCAAAGCGCTACAAGTGTTACCAATTTTTGTGATACTTGTTCTAGAGTAATAGATGACAAAGGATATAATGTCCCTAAAAATTCCAGTACTCTGTCTGGATTCCACGTGTTACAATATTTGGGAAAAGAAGGTCTTAATTTGAACACGCCTTTAAGATATCTGTTAAGTATAAGAGAATCTTTAATATGTGGCATTACCAATGAGATTGCAGACCGAAAAGTATTTAATGTTGAATAACCACTTCCTTTTAAAAATTCTTCATACAAAAAATCAATAACATTTTTATCTGTAGAATTATAAAGATGTAAAGAATTCACATTACAATAGACCCACCATCTTTTATAAGCTACATTGTACTGATTTAACGAGGACTCTGCTAAAGAATATATCATGATGTCAGCTACCTCTGCAGTGAACCCTTGGTTAATATATGATTGCCGGACAAAACTCCTGCCACCAGGGTAATCTTCGACCACAGAGGATGGCTGCAATAAAAAGGGGATAATAATAAATCTTTCCTAGGAGAAAACACAATAGGTTTGTTGATCAGCAATTTTTTATATAGGGGGTACCAACACTGGGATCTCCACAGAGGAACAATGACAATTCCCTTGGCTTTATCCAAAATTATTTTATTTAGTACTCTTGATATTAAAGAGAAGGGGGGGAAAGCATAAAATTTATAGTATGACCAGTCTATAGTAAATGCGTCAATAACAAATGAATCAGGATCCCTTTTCCATGAAACATATTTTTTACACTTTGCATTAGAACATGAAGCAAATAAATCTATTTCAGGTATACCAAATCTGAGAATAATTTGTTGGTAAGCATTTGAATCTAATGAATACTCTGTATCAATCGAAACTGAACGCGATTCTATATCCGCATCTGTGTTAAGTCTAGATTCGATGTAAGATGCAAAGATAAATAAATCTCTCGCTTCACACCATTGCCATATGCAGCGAGCTAAATTGGCCAATTTAGGAAATTTTATACCTCCCATTCTATTAATATATGAAACCGCCGTAGTGTTATCAATTCTTAAAAGTATAGAACAAGATTTTTCATTCTTGGCAAAACTCTTGAGACCAATAAAAGTAGCCATTAGTTCCAAATAATTAATATGATAATCTATTGTATCTTTTGTCCAAAAACCATGAATTCTTTCGCTCTCACAGCATACACCCCATCCAGATTGGGATGCATCTGTATAAATTACTAATTTGTAGCTATGTTGGGTTATTGAGTTTATAGCAACTGGTATAGAGTGCAGCCACCATTCTAGCTCCGTTTTAATCTGAATATCTAATTCTATACGGCCATTATAACTACCCCCCTCCCTTTTTAAAGCTAAATATTTTTTCCTTTCCAAAACTTTTGTATAAATATAACCGTATTTGACTGTTGGGCAAATAGAAATCAAAGTCCCAATCAAGTTAGCAAATCTACGAATTTTACAAACATTAAGACCTAGCAAAGATGTAATATTTCGACTTACATTCTCTATCTTCTTTTTAGGTAAAGAAATAGTTAATTGAATACTATTAAAAACAAAACCCAGAAATGAAATAACCTGACTTGGGTTCAAAATACTTTTCTCAGCATTGATTATGAACCCTAACTCACGTAAAATGTGTACAGTTACTTTAACATTTTTAATGCACTCAGATTTTGTATCGCCAAACAATATAAAATCATCTAAATAATTAACAACAATTATGCCCTTAGTCTTTAAATATTGTGTAACTGGTTTTAAAATTTTTGTAAACAAAAAGGGGGCTAAAGACAATCCAAATGGTAATACATTGAATTGATAAACTGCACCTCTATATTTAAATCTTAAATATCTTCTAAATTTAATATCAATTGGTATGCCAAAGTAAGCATCCTTGAGATCAATTGATGCCATGTAACAATCTTTTGTAATAAGATTTTTAACGGACCTGTAATCATCTAATTTAAAATGTGGAGGGGATAAAAACCTATTCAACTGCTTTAGGTTTAGTACAAACCTCTTTCCCCCACTTGACTTTTCTACTAAGAAAAAAGGTGATAAAAAACCCTTATTGCTATCGCTAGATTTACATAATGAAACAGCACCTATATTTATTAAATTAATAATGGCTGCATTCATATCTGCATTAAATCTTTTATTCTTGACAGTTGACTTAAAAGAAGACTGGTAAGGGGTATTTATGAATGGAATTTTATAACCCTGAATAGTATTTAATATAAATCTATTATTTGTTAATTGTTTCCATTTGCAAATATATGATTTAAGTCTGCCAGCATAACGTACCTCTATGATCGACGACTCTGATTTCTGGGGGGAGGATATCTCTTGTATGACGTTCTGGTTTCGAATTGCCTCCTCCTTTGCCTCTGCTGTTGAGGGAACTTGTTTGTTTTTAAAGTAAAAGCTGACAACTTCATCTTCCCTCTTGGAGGCTGTGTCTTCCAGTTTAAAGAAGGCGCTCTTAAGTCCATACTGGCCTTTTTCAAGGCCTGCATAGCCTTGCATCGCTCTGATAAATCCGCTCCAAACAGTTCCGTATCTATCTTTCCATCACGGGCGGTCTTCCTCATTTCCAAATTTAGCCTTGGCTCCAATACATGTCTTCGATGAAGTGACACCAAGTAATGAGTATGATTGAGTAGCTTAGATGCATCTGCAAGAGGACCTAAACATCCATTCAAATCTTGCGTTGACTGTTTGATCACAATATTAAGGGCTGCTCCTAGGGCGCTTAATCCTTTCCCTAAACATACCTGGATGTGTTCCATATAAGAGTCCCTTTTAAGGTCTTCTGCTGAGCACAATAGTTTCACTTCTGAATTTATTTTGGGCGGACTAAGGCATTTGATATTATCAGGTACAATCCATTTTTCCAAGAGCTGGTCCCTTTGATTCTTTTCCAGACCACTGGAAAGATAAGCAGTCCATCGTGAAACTAACTTTGCGTCTAAGGGAACACCCTGGGCCGGGACAATAGTCGGATCAACTCCCAAAGCAGCTTCAATCTGGGTATTAACTTCCTGAATTGGCTCAGGTTGCAACTCCTCCTCCTCTGATTCTGATGACAACAAAGGATTTACCCTGAGTCTTGAACGCTTAAATGTAGAATGCTCCGAACCAGAATCCCCAGATTCCGAATCAGAACCTGAAATTTTAAAGGTTCGCGTATATATTATTTAAATATACTTCAAAATAAAATTAACTTGTGTTTGTTATAAAATGAAAAATTATTAAAACAGTTTCAAGTTTGCGGGAAAAATTTTTCAATCCGGCAACGTCGTAAATTCTTAAATATCGATCCAGCCGATACGAAGAAAAACAAAAACAAAAAAAAAAAAAGAGACATGTATATAAATATATTATTTTAATCCATGTATAGCAAATCAAACCGGTTTACAACTAAAGCCATATACCGATATTGTGCTCACAGGGCTTAAAAATAAAGCTAATTCCTGTAAAAATTCAATTGTTGATACAAAACCAAGGCCTAATATTTAGGTAAATCCTTGTATTTGTTTTTTAATACATTAACAACTTAATACTCAAGGCCTAAAACGGTAAATCCTTGGTATAATAATTAATCGTTCACTAATATTATCGATATCACTCACAAGGCCCAAAATGGGTAAATCCTCGGGTGAAGTAATGTAGGTATGGAGTTTGCCGGTTAAGACTCTTCACGATAATAAATAATTTTAAACATAGGTAGGTACTTACTAGATACTTCCTCTGATAAAAGATTATTCACTGAACTTTTAAGTTTTCTCAGCTTACACTTAATTTCACGCAGTTTACTTAATTTTCTTTTCGGCATTTTAATCTAAACACAAAATACATGAACACAAACTAATAACGATGACACTTAATGCAAGAATGAGCATAGGAGCGTGGCGGGAGTGTGACTTTCTCTCTTTCTTTCAACTAGTGACGATTTCATGACAAATGCATGGTTGCCAATGTGTTCTGGACTGATGGAATGGAGAGAAGTATAATTGTTTATTTGTTTTGTACCATTCACTTAAATACGATGGATATTAGAAAATTTTTGGTAAGTACTTCTTGTGAAGTTTACTTAACAACTTTTTCCGTTTTGCGTAGCTCTTAGCTCTTGTATGACTTTGTTAACGTTTATATTATCCCAGCTAGACGACGTTCGCGCATCTCTCGATCGCTTTACATGGTATTTGGATTAAGACGCCAGCAGGGTTGGCTTTCGCGCGGATTTTAAAAGACCTGTTTATTTAATAAACTTTTTTGTTTCAGCTAAACAGCATAATTTTGAATATTTTTTTTTTCAGAAAAACCTTTTTATACATTGATGCGATGATCGAATTAATTATATCAATTAGTAACGTTATTATAAAAATTATTAATTACAAAAATACTGTAAATTCAAAAATTTGAAAAAAAAAACCTACTGAATATTACTATAAATACTACTAATATGAACTATTATTAAAAAAAAATATGAAATTCGTATGTGTAGTTTTTCGTATAAATCTAAAAAAAAAACACTTATTTTTTGACACAACCTATTTTTTAAACTTTGAACTTGGGTAACATAAACCTTAACACGTTTCCTTATTCCTTGTTAGGTAACATTAGCATGCTATTATTTTTTTCCGTAAATTTAATACGAAAGAAAAGTGCCAGCAGTGCCAGCACTACCAGCAGCAGTAGCGATGAGGAAAAAGAAGAGGAAGTACAAGTTCAGCCACACTCTAGTCACTTTACTCCAGGCATTGACATTGCGACTGTAGGCGCAGGACCTTCTTCTATAATTCAAAGTATTCAGACTATGGTGCCCGATAGTGAAATTGAAACTAAAGACAACGTTTGTCATGAAGATGATATTGGGAAACTCGTTGGCTTGGCGACCACTATACCAGTTGAGAAGAGAAAACATATTCTGAAAAATTGCTGGATACCCTCGAAAAACTATGATTTTGCCGCTGATGCTAAACACCTCAAGAGGAAATTCAATCATCACTGGTTGGACATATATTTGCCATGGTTAACTTACTCAAGACGGCTCAAAGGTGCTTTTTGTAAATATTGTGTTCTGTTTCCGCCGTCAGCCAGCATGATAAGAGGTGGTTGGGTATCTTTTATCATCAGACCCTTCACTAAATACAAGGACGTGCACAATTATTGTAAATCACATGTATTAACACAGGGACACAAAGCTGCAATAGAATTTGCAAAATCGTTAATGGAAGTCGTTCCAGTTGACATCCAAATAAACGAATCTTTACACCAATTAATAGAAAAAAACAAAAAAGTGCTGTCTACACTTGTTTCATGTATAATTTTTTGCGAAACTCATGATTTAGCTCTAAGAGGCAAAAATTTAGATGAAGGCGTACTTATAGACTTGTGTCATGTTGTAACATTTTAAAAGGCTAATTATTAAATGTTATTTTAAATGTGTGCCATCCGGTATAATTTAATTATCGCCAACACACAATATTCTAAAGAAAGGGAAATTTCTTGAAGTGGGAGTACCACTAACCAAACGATCTCAAATCAGATTTGTAAATTTCATTTCATTATTACCTTTCAATTTTATCGGTGGTGCATTTGGGCTGATAAAGTGGTAAGCACAAAAAGTATATAATGTCTTTATTAAATATCTCAGTAGAAATATTATTCTAACCTTTTGTTAATTATTAGTTTTTTAATAGTAAAGTTAAATATATTTTTATGATTCATTCTGGTTGCTAGAACGGCACAATATGTATAGTCACTAGTTTTTATTATCTGATTGGTTCATTTAAAAAAAAAAGAGTAGATGTTTCAAATTTATATATTGTACAGAACCACGTGAAAAAAAAAACAAAATTTATTTTTGTCTAGTGAACGAATGGAAACAGCCATAATCCATTATCCATAATACATAATCCATTAGCCACATAAATCCATAAGCCATAACGTCATAAGCCGAACGTTATAAAGCCGTAAAACCATTCTACCGCTGTAATCTAAACGTTGGTTCCCGAGGAGCAGAGATCTCTTGTGAAAAGTTGTTTGATTTGGAAAGGCGACAGCTACAATTCAAAGCTTCATAGAAGGAAGATTAACAGACAATGGCGTTGGTTTCCGAGGAACAAAAACTACGTATGGTTATCTACAAGTGACTAGCAATAAAACAATTGGTAATTACTAGTGACTAAAATTATTTATGTACGAATCACAATTTTAATGATATCTGATAACTGTGAATAATTTGTTTTCGAAAAGGTTTCTTTTTTTAAATAAAATCGTTGATTTTTATAAGTATATATTTTGAATCTTATTTTTTAATGGTCACAAAGAATTCTCTTTCATTCACTAAATTCTGTATAATTTTTATTAACTTCTTTTTATTGATAAAGCTAGAATTTATAATTCTCACTAGCTTTTAAAAATAAAAAAGAGAATTATTGGTGCCCAACATTTCCTAGAAAGATTACTACCCTTAAAATTGTCTATTTGAAAAGCCGAATTCACGACAGAGAAAAGGATGTGCTCATTTTTTTTTTTTTATTTTTAAAGGTAAGTAACGTTTGATATTAAATTTCACTGAGCTAGTAAAAATCTCTATAAGTGTTTTGAAATTAACATTTATCAAAAAGGTAACAAATAATATTGCAAACTGTAGCCTATCGGGTCAATGGAATATTACAATGTATGCATTAAAGCAGGTAATTCACAATTAGGACACCATTTTCAGCACGGGCCAAAAAACGCAACATGCAGATCACCTATCATTCAAAATGAAATAATTCATCTCTGTGGCGCTTCAATAACGGAACAAATCAAATGTTAAAGAAGCTTGTGCTTATAGCAGATATATCTGGCAAGGAACAGCTTTCTGTTGGATTACGTTTTTTTTGATGAAAATACCAACGAAATCAAAGAAGAATTCTTAGGCTTTGTAGAACTTAAAGGACTTAATGCAGTAAGTATTTCCAAAGCCATTAATGATTTTGTGAGAAACTTAGACCTAGATCCTGATAAATATGTTGGGTTAGGTTTTGATGGAAGTTCCATCATGTCTGGAAAAGAGGCGGGCGTGCAAACGATCTTCAGGCAAAAGTATAAAAAAGCTTTTTACTTGCACTGCTCTTCGCACAATCTTGTCGTAAATAAGAAAAAGCAGTCTAAAATTAAGTTTTTTTTACAATAAATGGTGAATTCATTTTGGTATTGTATATTATTTTAACACTATCCTTCCCTTAAAATACTGAATTTAGAAAGCGGCCCTCCCCTTTTGTTTTGGGCTGGATGCGCCCTTGGTATTAAACCAGTTGTGACCTATTTACAGTGATTTTATAGAGGCACATAAAGCTCTATTATCCAAAGTAGAATCCTTATACGGTTAAGGGCTACCAAGGTAAGCTTAAAGTAATAGACCACCAATAAAGATTATCAAACAACACAGGTTCCAATTTAATTATCTTATTCTTTGAGACCCTTAGGTATATATTTATTGGTTTTCCCTTGGGACGAGTTAGTCTCATTTGTGTTATTAATCATTAAATTGTGACATATTCGAGAGCACGACATATTTGCCATTTGTTAAAAGAAAATAGGTATATCGTGACAATATATCCTAGGAAGCTTTCTTGTTTAATAATTTGTAGAGGGTACGTGAAATGATCCAAAATTAAAAAAATTATCGACATACCTCAAGGGAGATTAATTGTAATTTTCCGAGCTTGTCCTTAAATATAAATACATCGTAGTTTCCTTGAAATATACTCATTAGCAGAGTTAATAAAATGCCCCATATCTCCTGCTCCTAATCGTACACCAAACTCCTTTATATCATTCGGTTGAAGTGCAAGTTACGAAAAGCACCTGGTATCTGAGAACTAAATATGTATCCACATAATAGGGTAGGGAGGAAAATAATTATATCTACGGACAAGCTTGGAAAGATCTAATTAATCTCATTTAAGGTAAGTCGATTAATTTTTTAATTTTCCTTCTCTTGTCCTTGATATAATTACATTGTAGATGTTCAAAGTAAGAAAAGATAATTGTGTGAATAATTATTTATATGAACATTATAAACGTGATTCAATAAACAAATATTTACATTTGTAGCTAATTTTATAACTACTTACTAGCTAAAAAGTGAATGAGAATAATAAAATTATTGTATGATCACAATTTCAGAATAGGTCAAATAATTGATTTAATTTCCAAATCAATAATAGTTTTATTATAAAATTCCTTTAACTCAACTTAAGACCACATGGTCTTGTTTAATACCCATCTACATTGCTAAATACTTGACAGGCTTTTGCCTAAATTTTGGGATTGTCTGAATATTCTGGATTAGACTGTATTTTTTTTTTTTAATATCCACTTACACTGCTGATAGCCCATGTACTAGTTGCTGTTACAGTGCCATTATAAACCGGTCGTGTTTCTGCGTTGGTTTTGACAAGCAGGGTTAAATTTCATTCTAGGGTTTTACAGTTAGTCGGGATTTTGTAATTATTAAAAAGTTCTTCTGCTGATCCCTAGCTATATTCTTTGACAAACTAATTCTAACGAACAACGATTTTTCATAGAGAGGCTTTCCTTTTGTATCGTTGTAATCTGGTTGTATTTTCTATTTTTATAATTATTTACATTGAAACCGATACCAGAAGAATTATTAAGAATCGCTCGACTTCTAATGATATGTTCTTTACATCTTTATACTGCTTCGTTTAAACAGTAGGATCATTAAAGACAAGATAATATTTTTTGTCTTAATAAAATAGCAAATCGCTTCATTGCTTTTAAGTGCCTCTCAGAACTTTAAGAGGAAAGGTCCCACTGCATATTATTTTTATATACCATTGAAAAAAATCGCCTGTAAGTATTTTTTTTTTATTTTAAAATCATTTATTATTCAAAAGAAATTGTTAAATTTTTATTCAGTAAAAATTCAGAGAAAGAGAAAAATCATCAAGAATCGCTCGACTTCCTAATGATCTATATTAAGAATAGCAAACGTCTATTCTGCGTAACTCAAACAGTAGGATAACAAAACACAAATTTAAATGAGTATTTTTGCTCAATGAAATCGCTCGATTTCCTGTTTAAAAAATATGATTTTTATAAAGAATTACTGAAAAAGTATTCAGAAGGGACGCACGTTCTTTTTCTGTATAAACAATATCTAATATAAATGATGAAATATAAAAAAGCCTACCTGTTGATTATTTGTTAGAGCTAGACTATTTATATTTGTTCCTGCATTTCACCTAACAAGCACGATAAAAGGAAATCATATACAAAGGTTTGATATAAGATTAGGAGCAGCGAATATGGGGCATTTTGTTTACTCTAGAAAAAATAAGTATATTTCAAGGAAACTACAATGTAATTATATCAAGGATAAGTAAAGGAAAATTGCTTTTTTTACTTAGATGCAATTATATTCACCTTTTTTTTAAATATCATAATGTATAATACGTAATATCATACGTATTTTTAAAATTTTAGTCTTTAAATAAATCAATTATACATTTCGATATGGATGTGACAAATTGACATCACTCTTGTCCACGAAATTAAATTTTTTACCACCAGAAATTTATCGACCGGAAGAAAAAAGAAACAAACATTTCCCATTCCACGATAATATCTCGAGCAAAATTGAATGAAAACAATTCCGGTTCCCTTTAGGCCTCAATTTGTCCGTGGGGTGTTATCAAACTCTAATCTAAGCTCGAACAAATCTATCGGCTATATTTTTGGCCACACAAACATTATTGCCGTAAATATATCTTCTTTTCAGCGCGAGTTTTTGTCAATGCTCGTAGCTTTTCCTAAAAAAAAACTGGGCCAATTAACACGCTTAACACTTTGGTATTTTTATTGAAGATGTATTGTTTAGATGAAAATAGAAATCGTGTTTTTATGAATTTATTTTATTGTTTTTATAACTGGATAGAAAAACTAAATGAAGAAATACTGTTGAAAATAGGTAATAAACGCTTTGTTATACAATAATGTATCAAAATTATGACTAATAATAATCCACAGACGTAAAACTTTTTTTTTATGATTTCACATTTAAAATTTCTACGCCAATGGAAGAAAAGGGGGTTGAGTATGAAATTTGGATTACAAAATTCATCAACTCCAAAATGATACTCTAAAAAAAATAATAGTATTATAAATTCCATTTAAAAAGGAAGAGAATATAACAAAATTGAAAGGAAAAATAATTTATGGGCGATCTGAGGTCGGGAAGTGGAAGGGGGTGAGTGTTTAAGGGTAAAACACGGTTTATCTCGATTTCCGGCAAAATTATAAGTCCTATGGAAAAAAGTTAAATGGCAAAGTGGCAGATAATAAAAAGAACTACAACTTTAAAATTTACACTTTTTTTACATAACCTCAAAATTTATGTGAAAAATTCAGATAACCAAATTTTTGGTTTCTTTTTCTTTTACAAAAAAATAATTTCACGATTAGTATGGTAAATGTTCTCAAAAAATGCAAATAAAGGAAAAAAACTCGAAATTTTTTTTTAAATATGTACAATTTTGAGCTATTTATTAAAATTTACACTTCAATTACTCGAAAAACGTAAGATTCCATGTTACATTGATAAACAAAAAAAATTGCAAATCGAAATATACTACTATAATTAAATGCTATGCTGGAACAACGTTGTAAGCGCATAATACTGCTCTTTTGGAAAATAAAAATAAACTTTTATTATTCATTGCTTAGACATGTAAAATGTTTATAAACCTAATATGATTGACTTTGAGTTGCATCATGTTTCTGTAGGTATTATTGCCTTAGATGTATAAAGGACGGGGTTTTATGAACTTAGTTGCTATATTTTAATAAAACAACGTTGTATATCCACGCGTCGGTTGCAACGTTGTTTTGTGGAAATAGGACGGTTAGAAAGTTGTTTCATGTTTAAAAATAAAGCACAATTGACACTAAAAAACGTGTTTAATAACTTAAATTTAAAACAGCGGCTACCCACTGAATCATGCATTCCCATATACTTTGATTTTCTTCCCTTCCACTTCAATAAGCGAGAGAGAGGTTATGTCTTGCCGCCACCGAGATCAATAAAAGGAGAACAATCGACCAATCTGACATTTACGTCAGCAAGGCTTTTGACAGAGTCTGGAAACCAAGACTAATTTATAAATTAAAAGACTACAAGTACACAGGAGTAATGACAAAGCTCCTCAAGTCGTACTTAGGTGGAAGGCAGTTTCGTGTCAAGATAGGTTCCGCCCTGTCTACATACGCAATTCCGGAAGCAGGAGTACCACAGGGGACAGTTCTATCACCGCTCCTATATACAATGTACACAGCAGATATATCACAAACAAACAACACCACGACATCTATGTACGCTGACGGCACAGTGATCGCTGTCAGAAGTACCAACACAGGTATGATATCCCGATACCTGCAAGAAGCAGCCACCGAAATCGAGGACTGGAGCATCAAGTGGAAGGTGAAGATAAACCCTGACAAAAGTCAGGAAGTACTCTTCAAAAAACGACGACACACATCATTTGGGGAAATCGAAATGGACGGACGAAACATACCATGGACAAACACTGCGAGATATCTCGGAGTGCAACTGGACCAAGGACTGACATTCAAAGAACACGTGACGAAAATAACGACAAAACTAAGAGTAACCTCTAAAGTGTCATCGGACGCCGCAGTAAACTGCTTACTAAGACCAAACTACGGGTGATAATATCCATAATCACACCAATACTGACATACGCTTCTATTGCATGGGGACATATGTGCAGAACAAACAGGAAAAAAGTACAAGCTCAACAAAATATGTGTCTCAGAGTGGCTGCGAACGCACCTTGGTACGTTCGTAACCGCTACCTGTTCAGAGATCTAGAAACCACCACGGTTTTAGATATCATGAACAGTAGAGCCGCACATATTTTTAGAGATCTACAACAACATCCTAATCTCGAGCTGAGAGACCTGACAAACTACGAAAGAGAAGACAGGAGACATGCGCGAGCCAGAAAACAACTGGAGTACGCAAATGACGACAACTAAAATAATTCTGTGGGAAAGCGGTAAATAATAAATTAAGTAGGCCAAACAAAAAAAAAACACAAAAACCCCCAAAAAAAAATAGTTTTTAGTTCAGTCATTTGGCGAAAATTGTACCTCGATTTATATTAGGTATATTAATGTGATTTTTAGGTACCTACACTTACTAGTGAAGACTTCCACCTCCTGCAGGTTTCTACCCTCGAAAAGTCCCCTCACAGGGACTCTGAACAGGGTTTATCCCTTGGTAGGCAATAGACGCAAAATATTTGGACAACTAACAATAAGCGTTGCACACTGTTGGCTCAACCAGAGGGGTTCGATAAGGCTCCAAACTTCACCGCTTACTCGAAGGTATGGGGTGCCAATTGCTATTGACATGTAGACCATGCAGCGGATGAAAAAGCATGGGGGTGGATGGAAGGGTCTAGCAGGTTTTGATCCAGTTTAATCGGGATGAGAACTTACTCGACTCGGGCCTATTACTGCGTGCGTGCAATCTGGCAGTTCTATCCGTCGAGCTGAGTTGGAGAAAACTCACTACCTCTTTCGAGTAGTACGTGCTGAGAACCACTTGTTTCCTACCCCCTCCTGGTAAACGTGTTGAGTTTGTCAATTGGTTAACGCGCTGAGTTTGCTGATTACCTGATAGATGTTTTGAGTCTATATTCCTGATGGACGTGTTGAGTCTATACTCCTGATAGACGCGTTGAGTCTATACTTCTGATAGACGCGTTGATTATATACTCCTGGTAGACGTGTTGAGTCTATATCCCAGTCACAGACGCGTTGAGTCTGTTTACCCGTAGAAGACGTCAAGTCCATATCCGATTAACATTTTATTTTCAGAAAGTCCGTGCGATACACCGTCGCTTCGTAGCAGAGACCCACTTTACAACGAACCATCTCGTCGAGAGCCCAGCTGTTCGACACTCAACGAAAGGCCGTGGCTGTTGGCCTGCGGGCCGTGAAGAAAACAAATTTATTTGAAATATATTTTATATTGTTATTTTAATAGGGAGAATAAATACCTTTTATTTTGAATTCTATCTTCTGAATTACCAGAACCGCATTACAGAATATATTCACACATATCTAATAAGACATGCATATACAACGTTGTTACACCGGAGTATATAAGAAATAATTTTATTACTACTCTAAAATACGAATAGAAGCACTTTGTCAGTTGATTATTTCGACCACATATAAGATTGTGCCACAAAAAACTCAAATGTGCCCATATTGGCGGTTACAACGTTGTTCCAGCATAGCATTCAATTAACAACCAAATAAGTTATTAAAGTTAATATTTAATAAGATATCTACAATATCTTAAGAAAACATGGATTAAAATGCACAAATGTATGCTCATGAAAAAAATATGTTTTAATCTAGAGTGGGAAAGAGATAAAAATACATAATTGTCGTTATGTAAGAGTTGTTCATTGAGATAATTTAAATCATTATTCTTATTGCCCATATTGCAATTATGAAAAAGTATAATTTTCTATAAACTTAATATGTTGGCCCTGTTATTCCTTTACAAAGATTAACGGGAGATATTTATTTGCAATATTTACAAAATACGTTGCCAGATTTGTTAAACGATTTACCTCTCCATAGTCGGATAGATTGGGGTTTATGTACAGTGAAGCCACACCATATTTTTTATTTAATATTCGAAACAACTTGAAACAACAGTGCCCACGCAAATGGTTAGGTAGACGTAATGACGCAACGGTAAATTGGTCACCACGTTCTCCAGACTTAACTCCGATGGATAATTTTTTTAGAAACATGGTTTACAAGATAGCAGTAATTAATGAAGAACAACTGTAGCAACTTATCCATAATGCAACAAGTAATCTTAGAAGTGATAAGGAAGTTAGGCATTTTTCTTCGTCGGATAAATCTTTGTATACAATTTCAAAAATTTTTATAAATTTTTTGTTATTTCTATTCATGTTGTAATACTTTTTTTTGAAAACTAAACCCCAAATATTATATTTAAACCCCTCTGCTTTTATTGGCTCACACATTCTGAATTTTTAATTATTAAAAAATGAAGTTCTACGCTAATGGATTAATATTAGTTAATATTAAAGGAAAATAAAAATCTCTAAATCAGTACCATACAAAATGTTTTTAATAATATAACAAATGACATGTAAAGGAAATGGGTATTAATAGGTGTTAACCTTTAAGTATTAATAAAAACTTTTTGTGTGGTACTGATTTTTACTTCCGTTTATGAAAATGGCCACATTTGAGTAATTGAATAACCTCTACGATTTAGCCATAATTATGTTGATACGTTGTTTTTTTAATACATAAAATTAGAGGCCGTTTTGTTATTTTTTACTATGTCGTGTTCTTACAATGTGTGTAGGCTGCACTAAAACAATAAAAAACCTTCGTTTACGTCTTTTTCTTTCATTTTAGTAAATGCCATAATAAAATTCGTAGAAAAATTATAAAGTTTTACTCTTTAAAAATCAATTTTGTCACTCGTGAAATAATATACTATTCCTCAACAAAATATACAAAAGACTATTATGGACTATTTTTAAAAATTTTATAAATATAATCTAAAGAATTGAATAATTTTGAACTAAACTTTTTTTCTTCTACTGTGTTATAGTCCTTTGTCGTCTACTGCTTTAACCTCCCTCTGTGGCTCATTCCTACTATTTAATACCTTGATTATTGTGCCTTTTTTCCAATTTTGCTAGTTGTTTTGCTCTGGCTGCTATTTTCCTCTTTCAAACAGTTTTAAATTATATTTTTCCATACAAAATTTTTTAAATTTATATAACTTCAGCTATTCAATCATATAGAAAATTGGTTTAAACAAAAATTGATTAGAATTTAAAAATTTTCTTCTACTGTTTGATTTGCTGGCTCCTTTGTCGTTTACTGCTTTAATCTGGTTCCTTCCTTAATTAGTGTTCCTTCCCTTCTGAACTATTCTATTACAACCGTTACGACTTCACACGCCCCTAATATGGGATATGGTGAGACCAGACGTTGCTTTTAGCATAATATGGACTTTATCTCACTAAGATATATCTTCTATAAGCCATTTAAAGTTATAACAGAACAAATAGAAGAGCCAGAAGTGGCAGGAACGATTCATATCTACACTGAAAAGTCAAAAACAAAACAAGGCCCAGGATGTGGAATATAATCCAGATTTTTAAACCTAAACATTAAATGGGCTTTCAAATAGTGGCAGGGTAGTTCAAACCTAGCTCACGGGGATTTTCATAGTAGCAAAACAAGTTACTAGAAACAATATGACTGAAAGGGACATGCTCATCTATACAGATAGCAGACAACCACTACTCACTCTGGAAAGATCATGAATTTACTCAGGCTAAAGCTTTTCGAAGTATCCATTAACAATATGGTTACCATAAGATGGATCAAACGTTACGTCACATCTTGATGATTCACTAACCAAGATGGCAGTCAACCAAATACTGTTTGAACGTGGCCCTTTCATTGGTATGACAAAACTAATTAAAGAACATTCCCTTGTAAAATTTAAAGATCAATTGGGAAGCTGTAGAGTTGCCAGGATGCTTTTAGTTATTCTGACAACACTACTGTTGGGAATATCTACCAGAAATAGACGGATTTGCAGTAAATGGTTTATTAATTTGTAAATACACAAGTAACTCAAAGTACTGAAATTTCTAAAATAAATTAAATGAAAATTGACACATTTTAACAACTTATAACTCGAAAACAAAAAAAGATATCGAGATGCAGTTTTCACTAGACCTTTTACATTTACATTAAGTTTTTCTTGACATTGTTGTCACATGTAATTTTTTTCTGGAGAGTGCCGAAAAAAAAAACAAACTTTTTTGAATCAAAATTGTGAGCTTATTTTAAATAGCCTATAATTTTTAACATCCTCGGAAAAACCATTTCTTTCCCTTTCCAAAAATGTATTCATTGTAAGCATTTATTCAATTTTTTTGGGAAAAATTTACTTTTTTATGAAACCATGTCGATAACTTCTAAACGCAAAGTATCACAATTTAAAACTCGATAACTCGATAATGTGACAATTTATTGATAAGAGGTTTTGACTAAAATTCTGGGAAATGTTTATTATAATATGGTTGTAAAGTCTTAAATGTCGAAAATTTTCGTAAAAGATTACTTTTACCAATTCAGATTTAGGGCTTATGATTAATAAAATTCTTCGTATTTGTAACGTTTATTTGCAAGCCTTTATCCATAAATTATTATTTTAAAGAATGTCTTAAGCGTTTTCAATATGTACCTATATCTGTTTTTTTTGTATATTTAATATTCCTCTTTTTGTAAATTAACTTACTCAGCTTTGGATAGAATATGAATGAGTCAATAAATGATACTACTAATTTATCAAGGGTGCTATGTAAAACAAATCGAGTCAACAGAAGTCTATATTTGTATTAATTAGTGCAAGAGAAAGCAGGTATTAAAAAATGTTTACCAAAAGTGAAAAAGCCCGGTGCGTTTTACTTTATATTGAAAGTAGATCAATTACACATACACAAAGAAGATTTAGAAATATGTTTGAAAAAAATTAGCCAACCAGAAATTCTATTTTAAACTGGGTAAGTCAGTTTTAAGAAACGGGAACATTAGATAGAAAAAAAAGACAAATTGAAAACTCTCAAGATATTATTTTAAATGATGTTATACAGATAAGGGAAATTTTAGCAAGAAACAATAATAAAATATATATTAGAAAAATTGCCCAATCCATACATATGTCAAAGAGTAAGGTGCATAAAATTTTAAAAGTAATTAAGTTTAAAGCATATAAGGTTCAGACTTTTCATAAAATTGAAAATCATGCATTTGAAAAGAGAGTTTTTATGTGTGAGACGTTATTAGGTTTATTTAGACCAAATGTACATCTAATAATGTAAGATGAAGCAACGCATAAACAAACACAATTGTAGGATTTGGGGTGACGAAAATCCTAGAGCTTTCAACGAGTTTGTAAGAGATGCTCCCAAGGCAAATGTATGGTGTGGTGTGTCCAAAACAAAAATTTATGGACCATTTTTCTTTCAAGAGGAAACAGTATATGGAAACAATTACACGGATATGCTAGAACTATTCTTTTATCCTCAACTAGAACAATAAGAAATACTAAATACTGCATATTTCCAGCAAGATGGTGCTCCACCGCATTACTCTCTTGTAGCCAGGAATTCTTTGAAGATAAATGGATAGGTCGGGCTGGTCCCATCGAATGGGCTCCATATTCTCCGGATTTAACTATACCAGATTTTTTGTTAAGGAAAGATGCTACGATCCAACACCTACAAACTTAACTGAACTGAGGAATAATATAATTCATGTGTTTAATACAATTACCCCAGAAATGCTGCAAAATGCATTTACAAATTTTTTAATGCGTCTGCATACATGTATTGAACAAAATGAAGGCCATATTCAACAATTAATTTATTAATGTTTTAGTACATATTTTTTGTATTCAATAAAAATTCAGATAGGTACCAACATGGTGGGACACCACTTGCGCCACAAAAATCTGTGTGGTATGAGGTGCTCCCCTCTGTCTTTATAAGTAAAATATTATTCTGAAATTTATACCTAAGGGACAAGGCAATGAAAAACAGTATCTTATCAATGATCGTTCGATGTAAAACGTCAATTTATATTTCGATATGTGCCACCAAAATGTAATAGACACCGTTAACATTGATTTAATTACCTAAAATTAAAACCTATTAAAGCAATAAAAAAATTATTAAAAATTGACTTTTTTTAAAAGGCGAAGAAATAAACTATCTAATGACTATGAGAGATACGAAATGTTTCATTCGCCATAAGACCTTAATCTGAATTTAATTTTTTTTTACGAAAACTTTACAAGATTTGGCAACTATGTCAGAAAAAAATTTAAACATTTCCAAGAATTTTGGTGAAAACC